ATGTTGACCCTTTGAAATGCCTATGGACTTAGAGACTGGATTTTATCTATCCCACATCATTTGAGACTGAATGCTCTGTCTTGTAGGAGTACTTGTATCTACAACTTTTTTTGAAGTTATGAGTATTGGCTATCAATTTCAATTTTTTTCTTCTACATGTATTGTAATGACTTCAGTATGAATGACATGGCCCTTGGTGTTCTGGTCTTGGATTGTGATATCGGTTCTTGAATGTTTGGGGGAAAGGGGGTATAAGACATTGTTTCTTTTCACGTTAGATCACGGTTTTGGGATATATGGGGTTTGTTTTTCTTGACTGGTATGCACTTAGAGTTTGCTTTTTCTTGCTAAGTTCCATTACAACTTTTGGTCCTTTCCCTTGGCACTAGTGCTTAGATATTCTTATAGATCTAACATTTCTAGTCATAAAATGAGGCCATAATTGCAAAATTGTTTATCTTTGCTATTTTATCCTCGATAAAAAATGTTTTTTATTTGCTGGAACATTCCAGGAAGTCGTCTAAAAGGTGTCACCTATATTGCAACATTTAGATTGCTCCCCCATTCAATATGGAATCATCATCCACTGTAAAGCACAACTGAACAAATTACTCTGTCGTGTGTTGGGGTGAATTTAAGATTCCTGAGACTACAATTATTTTTATTCATGCTGTGATTAAATAAAATGATACATACCCTGACATATTTAAAACTTATTTAAAATGGATTTTCTCTATTAAAAAGTGATTTAAATGGCGCTATTTTGACAATCAATGAAAAAGTAAAATGAACAATTCTGGCTTTATTATCTATATCTATCTATCTTTGACTAGACGAATTTCACATCTATAGATACTATGAATGTATTAATACCTCAGATTAAAACTTTAAAAATTGAACCCTTCAAAAACTGTATCACCACCCAAGTACATGGGTACGAGGAACGAAGCCAATACTTCGTAAAGAAATCATGAAATAACAACATGTAGAACAAGGCATTAGCATTACAAAATGTCACCACCTTGTAGTTCAAGTCAAAGCTTTAAAAAAATTCGTAATTTGAAGCAAGGTGAAAAATGCCTTTGAGAAGGTCATTGAAGGTCAATTGTCAAATCTAAAGTCAGATTTGAATTTCTGAGACCTTGAAGATCATTTTGAAAAAATGAAGACCTTAAATAATGTACAGTAGTAACAAAGAAGAGTACTTTCTTGTTCTATTGTTTTTGAAGAATGGACACTGCAAGCTATCTAAAACCAGTGTGGCACAAAATATGATTGACAGTGTTTGGATCAATATTAACACCTTGACTGTCACATGCAGTGCACCGAAGCTGTACTAATTAAACCCCTTTCAATCACTCAATAGTTGAATTGTAAACAATAAATAAATAATTTTTTTAACTGTACCTTACCTGATACATGCAGTGCATTGAAGCTTAACCAATTAAACCAACCCACTTCTTTACACACTTACCTCATAGTTAATACAAAAGATTTTTTCTAAACTTGGACCATGGGTCATTTACCCTTCATAAGAGTCAGTGTGTGGTTTAAGTAAGATAAACTATTCGAACTTGTTCTTATGAGAACCTCGGCCAAGCCCCTGCTATTATTTCTCATAAAACCCAGTACTCATAGTTTATCCGTAACTGAATTAACGATTAGAAGATTCAGTGTTGCTATACCTCAGACGACTACCTGGTTGTTATTCACTAAAGGGAGTCTCATTATAGGTGGGCCATAAAAATGCTTTTGGGTCCCCTGACTGCCACTTGGTTTTGCGTTGTTGCTTTTAGGGGCTGTAATGAGGAATAGATATTTTGGTTTCAAATGAGGGATCCCAAACTTATCTGTAGGCCATATGCCTATGTAAAAGTAGAAGTAAGCTTATGAACATCGAGAGCACTCATAAGCTGCCTTCCTACTACTTTTCCCAAGGCCTATACTGTAGGTCAATTGACGTAACTATGATTAAGCTTAGAGGTGCTGTGATTCCAGAGATTAATAAATGCTGCATCTAATATAACACCATTGTAATTAAAGGCATTCTTGAGTGGATTTCACCTAGGATGAAAAAACATTATAAGTAGTATTCGCGAATTCAACTAACAGCTGCCAGATCAACTTACTATTTTATGGCTATTTAAATATAAATAGTACCTGCCACTATTTCATTCATATTAAAAATTTACCCAACATATGACGTCATGAATACTTTCAAAGTGCTGTCTAATACTGATTGAGCCAAAAATGTAGCCCAAACAAATTCCGCATCTGCTAAAGTGTTATTTCGCATAATAAAACCTTGTTTAATGTTCTTCCATTTTATTAAATTTAATTGGCCCTGCCCAAATGGTCGGGATTTTATGGCTATAATATGAAACATGGTCCAAAATGCCAGCTTCATCTAATGACTACGGGCTTTCTCTGATATAATGTCAACCCCTACAACAAGTTGGATAGCATTTTTGTCTCACCCTGTAATTCATTTTATTTTCACACTTATTCATTTCAGCCTGCCCAAACAAAAATCTAGGTTGAATAGTCAAAACCAGGTACATGTAATTACAACGAACTATTCAGTATATAAATAGCTCTATGTGAATGACACAACTGTTTTATACACAAACAATACAAGGTAAAATACAGAATTAAGCCAATCCATAACGCTGAGTAAGTCACTATCTGAGTGTTTGAAACAGTGTAACAAACAAATTATTGTGACACTTAGCTGCCCTCTATTTAGTTGTTGTATAACATTAGTATGAAGCATTTAATAATATCAGAAAAAAGGAAAAAATCATGAAAAAATACCAAAAAGTAGGTTCACAATTAACTTTTCCCCTTTACAGTTTAAATCATGTCTTAAAGTTCAATACAACTTTGCACTAAAAATTATTAAAAAGGTGAAAATTGTGTCAGTATTAGGGAAGATTGGTGAGGATGGGTGGATAAGGGGTAGGTTAAGAGATAATCCAATCAACTTGATTATCATCCTAATGTCATTTATTGAAGATAAGACTTGGATCTAACATAACCATTTGTTTTTGTGGTTAAAGTATTCTTAGAATTAAAGATATAGCCCTTTGAAAATGCTTGCCATATCTTACGTGGCTTTTTAAAGAAAGCATGGTCACTGTTGAAGATCATCCGCAATCTGGTTGCAAGAAGAGCTTGCGGACAGAGAAGAACATTAAGATAATTTTTGATGCAATTTATGAAGAGAGAATTATCCCACTGTGGAAATTAGCAAAAAAAGGCAACACGGGGTATGGAACAGTTCAACGAAAAGTTGGCAATGACCTGAAGATGCGTTTGATCTGCTTAAAATAGGTACCGAGGAATGATTGAATTAGCAAATTTATTTATTTGATACGTTATAATTTAACTGACCTGCCTACCCTAAATTCAAGTTACCATGGCAACCATATCTCAAAATTAATTTAAGATATAAGTATAATATTTAAGCATTGTATGTGTAATTAAACATTCTATATATTCTAAAAATGAGAGTGATATGTGAAAAGATCACAAAATGAGAGCATTTTTATCAGAATATATGGATTGCAATTGTATTTCGACGCTATCCAAAATCGTGAATTTTGTAAAATCAAAATTTCGCTGCTTAAGAATCGTTATCAACAAATGTAAGTGATGCCCGGTGATTTATTTTGGCAAATATTGCGAGGACTATTTCCCGCGATTTTGCCAACATTGCAAATTGTGTGATTTAATACACTAGGGTTCTACAGGGTGTCCCGAAAGTATGGAACCCTCCCCAATGAGCAGACATATACCATGTCTCCTCAATGTGACTAAAAAGGTGGGTGTTATTGTCAAATATAGAATGGATATTGAGTTGAAAGAGGATGGCAAACACTCCAAGGAAACTCTTCTAAAATTAGTAAGGTGTTTTGAGAATAACAAAATGCAAGAACCCTATTTGAAGCGCATTTAAGGTCATATCTGAAAAGAATTGCTGCTGTAACATGACCTGAACTTTGATTTTGGCCAAACACTAAACTTTAAAATGCCTGTAACTTTTTTCCATTTGTGAGTTGAACCATAATACTTGGCAAATCAATGTAACTTTCGATAAGCTCCAAAATCAGGTGTGACAAATACTATGCAGACATTTGTATATATCTGCATATGGGGACCCCATACTTTCGGGACACCCTGTATATGAAAAATTACAGATTTCAGGATGAAATTAAAAGCGACAATTTTATAATGATAATAGTCATGCCTCAAATAAAATCTCCAGATTGACATTTTATACCTTTTACACATATATAAGATTAAATACATACTAATTATTAAATCAATACGATAGTGAACCAACTTAAAAATAAAAGGGCTGTAGGTAAAACTGGAATATCCAACGAATGGGTAAAGGCAGAAACATGTTGAAACATTTCATGTATGATGCACACACTATTGTAATCTATATTTCCGATAGAATTTAAAGCATTTGGACGAACTCCCATGCAGTGATAGTCTTCAACATAACACTGCGGCGGGCAGGTATCTCATCGTAAGCATGGTAACTTCGTAATAAACAACTGACGTGATTGGTTCTAGTCCCATGCTCAGGTCGCGTGATTGTAAAATTTAGACAATTTCATTGGTTGAATTGCGCGTATTAACTAATAAACCACACGTGCGGTAAACTATTATCAACAAAACTTTTACTCAGAATTCCTTCCGCGGTGATTTCTTCTCATATTTCAATAATTTGGAAATATTTTGACAAAATAATGATTGGTGAACATAAAAGAACATATATTTTATAAGTTGTATGAAAATCAAGTACATCTGTGACAAAAAAGGGGGACTATCTTCCCCAATTTTTGGGGATTCCATAATCTGCCCGCCGCAGTGTCTATACCGAGACACTGCATAGGAGTTCGGCATTTGGAATGTATTGATACCGATAAGGAAGATAAGATGGACTGGTTCAACATCAAGAAAATGGAACTGGTAGGCGAATCTTATTGTAACACGATGTTCTCTTTTTGGCTTGTAATTTATATTAAGTATTAATCTGAGTCTTAAAGGACAATGAAAAACAGTTTTTTTAGTACATTGGCTCAATAAAGAACCATACTGATCTTTTTTGCAACAAATAAGATCTCGGAACAGCTTACACTGTTAAAGACAGATTCTCCCAAATTACTGTTTTCTCTTGATGCTGAATCAGTTTTTCTTCATCTTACTTATTTGTCTTTTGATACATCTAATATTCCATTTTTGTCTAGAAATTATTTCAGAATATACTGAACACCCTACGTCAAGTGTTTCTCTGACAGACTTAAATTTTAGGCATGATTAATATCAGCGTAAAATTTTTGCATCGGATATCATTCTAAAATTTGTAATTTTTCAAATAGACCCCTGGTGTCTGCTTACCCTTATTATTAAAAAAACATAAAGATTTATTTATCACACTTCACGAACAATTGTTAAATTGATTTATGCATATCCTGCCAAAATCTTATTGAACTATATGTATTTTTATAAGTTATATCGAGATAGAAAATGTGGACGTTTTTGCCCACCCTGTAATTTCAATAATTAGCTGTGTATTATTGTTTTTATAATGTTAGCTGTTCGATTATTTATTTTGTGGTGTCGTCCCCTATCAAGTGTTCTCATCGGAACCAGTAGAACTTGCGCATTTGACTGAATGATAGAATTGTCAACTGGTTACATGACGTAATTTTACCAAGTCTTGAAATATACGAGAGTTGATCATAAAAGTCTCATAATATCTCTCTAATTTCCTTTTAGAACTAGAGTATCTTAATGACTAAATATACAATACAATACGATATGATACAATATTATACAATACAACACGAAAAACACATAAGATACAATACACAACGATATAATGCATTACGTATACGAGTAGTTTTATACGTTGCAATGGAGCCTACCAATCTGGGACAATCTGGGACACTCTAGGACAATCTGACGCAATCTGGGACATTCTAGGACAATCTGACGCAATCTGGGACATTCTGGGACAATCTGACGCAATCTGGGACAATTTGTAGCAATACGGGAATCAGAAGCCAATAGGCAGGGTCGAATCGACCTACATTTTGGGATGAATCCAAAGTCCTGTGGATGAGGAATTTCAACATCTGAAGATGTCGTTTTTTCACCATTTAAAGATTTTCCTACATTTTGAGGTAAGATGGATCCAAAGTCATGTGGTTTTTCAACATTTTATCGAGAAGGCGATAAACTATATAATGGGGCGAGTTTTAAACAGGTCTGCCTGATCCCGTCATCTGCAGCAGAAAAACAGGTATGTTGAAAAAAAATTTAAAAACTTAAGGACGTGCTATTCTAGGCCCGCATTAAGGGATATAAAAATTGGATGGGAAGCTGAGCTAAGACATCCGCCCTACTGAGCTATGTAGAGCCATTGGTGAATACGACTGTTAACCACCCGTTTATATACTGATTAGGAGCTACTTGGGCTGGAGAATATGTCACTGATTAAGGAGACCGAAACGCGATCGAGTCTCGAAATACGAGTCCAAAAATGTTTTTAACCCTAAATTAGGTGGCCGAAAATTAAAATCGACACGTCCGTTTAACATGGCAAAAGCCATTGGCGCTGGGAAACGTCAGAAATTAGGAGACCAAAAATATGTTACAGTCGAATTAGGGTGCTCGAAAGCTATTCCAGACCCGCATTTAGAGATCGAAAAGCATGACACATGGCATACCGATGAACTTAGTTGTTTAAAGGAGCCGAGCTCCTTTAAACAACTCGCGTACCGTACAGACTCCGAGCCGTTTACTAGAGTATACTCCCCAGTAAGCAGCAGCATGATCGGGGAGAGACAAAATGACACAAAAACGTAGGCATTGATGTATACGTTCATTTTATTTTAGCCAGAAACATTCTAAGTACAGTCAATACGGCTTTAATTCGTCTCTTCGCCCTCCTTCTTTTATCCCTCAAGCTAACAGCTCTGTTTGCCATGAATTCCAACGTTTCTCTATATGGGAGGAGTTTTCTTCGCTCCTCTTGGGACAGAGTCACGTTTTGTAGAAGGATGTTGAGTATCACTTCAGAGATGACTTTAACTTGAGCCAATGTCATGGTTTTCAGCAGCACGCGCCTCTGTTTTGTAGTAGCTTCAGCTAGATATGTCAAAAATGGAACTTGCTTTCCAATCGTTGCATTCATGTTACAGGGAGACCCACGAAGAAATAACGTTTTTCTTTGCTTCAGTTGTATCTATGAATTTTTCGGCTGCTCTTTTGCGTGTTTTATGAGCTGGAATACCGGGAGGAACGAGGTTGATTTTTCTAGCTCCCTTTTCAATGACAGGAACTCCTCTCTCCTGATCCCTATCAGATATGTTTTCACCAGCTGGAGTTACGCTAATAGGCCCAGCTCCGTTCTGCTTTTCAGTGATGCGTGGTTCTTCCTGCTTTGGTGATGACTGATCTAGTAAACGTTGATATCGTTCGTAAGCAATCAATACACTTCTCCCGCTCATGTTCGACTGAATCCTATCCTGAACTCTCTCTGTATTTATAGCTGCGGATATATTATCGTATCCTGATTAGGAAAAATGCGAGTTCTGACTCTGGTGACGTCATCACTATGAGGAAAAAGGTCTAAAAATAGGTAGCCGTATGGAGCAGATGTGGCATCGTGGTATGACTCCATCAACTGTCTCCACTTTGTAGGACTGAGCTGTCTGGCTAGCGTCATGATCTGAGTCTTGTCCCTCAAAGCTTTAAACAAGACTAAATACTGCGTATTGAGCGCTATGGTACGAGTACCCTTGTAAAAGGCCTGTTGACTTATAAACAACACATTCAAGCATCTATGGTGACAGCCTTGAGTAAACACGAGTTCCATCTCCTTGTTGTTAGCTACCTGATGAAGCAGGTCGTCCAGAACTATCACCGTACTCCTCCTATCTTTAGTCAGCTCATCTATCATTTCCCGACTAGGTAGGCCCAGGTGCAATTGAAAATTCTTCAACTCCATTTCCATTTGATCGAAAAGCGGTTGATGAATGCCGTAGCAATACAGTACAGCTTGTGGTCCGGGGGCTTCGTACATGCCAGATAGGTTTTTCAACAGTTTATAAACGAAATGAGTCTTGCCGCAATTACTACTACCAATGATCGAGCAGCTCGTGCCATTTCGAAGTCTAATGAGGCTCTCCGTCTGCCACCAGTCCATGCTTGGTAATGTTATGAAAATGAGAAGGAACTTATATTTATATATCTCGTACATCCTTCGCTGGAATCCACGTATCAAACTTGGAGGGCCAACCCTGCCAGTGAACCAGGGCTTCCTTTCCCCTCCCTCTCTTTCTATACTTTATCACCGATTCGATTCTATGCTGGGCTGGTTCCTCCGAAATTTTCTGCATTTCATCGGCGTAGAATAGTCCCTTGATTATTTCTCCTTGTAGATCTTCCAGGTAATACGTAGGAGGATCGGTAGCATTCCTACTCTTGATTCTAAAGTATTCTGTGGACCATTTCTGTTGATAGCCGCGATCGAAAATTCCCTTTGTAAAAGCCAGTCTCACCAAATCACCAATGTCGAAGCGATAATTGACAGCTTCATCTTTTTTAGGCTTACTCATGAAAAGCGTCTCGAAAACTTGCAGTTCGTTATTCTCATCAACATCCGCAGGGGCCATTTTGATGGTTCTATGGAATGAGTGATTGTAGCTATCCACTATAGATTGGAGTTCATCGATATAACGATTCGTGGCGTTATGGTACATATATCGGTAAATTTTATGCTTCAATGAACGAATAACTCTCTCTGCCAGGTGGCTCTTCACGTCCCCCTGAGTAACGAAGTGCCACACCCCTACGCTTTTGAAATAGGCTTGAATCTTCTTGGATCGATATTCGACTCCTTTATCACTTCGCAACCTACTGGGTTTGTCAGTGGCAAATATCTTCTTGAACGCCTCGATCATATCTTCACTATTTTTGCTTTTGATTGGCTGCACCCACAGGTACCTGCTTAGACTGTCAATCATGATGAGAAGATATTTGAAACTGTCATTTTCCTTCGCGTATTTGTCCATCATGGCTAAATCTGTATCAGCTTGTTCTAGCATATGCCTCACCACTAGTTTTCTACGTTTAAATCTAGTCTTGACTCCCCTGTATAAACTGTAGGTTTCTTGTTGACTCAGCCAGTCCCTGACATCAGCCTGCTTGATTCCCCGACCCTTAATCTCTCGCCAGAGTTGTTTAAATCCGCTATAAGACCCTGGCCTGCTGGGATTGTAATATATTGTTTTGAGCAGATTAGACTGCAGTTTGCTCAACGTCATGATAGCTAATGAACAAAACACAATGTAGGCTTCTCATTTTATTTATTTATTTCATATAGCGACAATAGATATTGAATGGTTTCGACGACCTCCTGTTCATTTTTATACAGTACATTATTCACGATATAGTCCATGGAATAACCTCGGCATCTCAACAACAGGAACATAGTGCAAAAGTGTCCACAGCTGGAACTGTTTAGATTTTGCACGCGAATGTTATTATACTGCTGTTCATTCATGTACGCTGCGAATCCATACGCATTCGAAGCCTCGCCCAATGGATCAAAAAACTCCAGTTGTTTATGTCCAGCGTAATAACAGGTCCAATGTTCCCCCGGGTGCAAACTCTCCTTGGTGTTGAGGACGCAACACTTTCCCTCTTTTAGACGATTCAGGATATGATCCTTAGCATAGACTCCCTTGAATGATGACTCGGTGTCAGGATGCGTACTCAATATGAGACTTATCTGCTCAGAGTCCATGGTTACTCCAGAATAATATTTCTCGATAAGTCTATTTGAAATTTATCGGGGAAGGTTGCCAGCAGCATCAAGTTTATTGGTTCCTCCAATGGTTCAGTAAACTGCGCACTCACTTTGACACTGCCTTTCTTAACTAAAGGAAATGAGAATGTTTCGCTGGTTTTATCTTGAGCTTGGACATTGTACTTGAAAATGGCGTAACCGTAAGGGAATGACATCTTATCAATTATCAAACCCTCATCATCGTGGAGGTCTGAGAATAAACGATCATATTCATGGGCGTATTGATTTTCAAAGGGAGCATCTCCAAACACTGGTCTCAGAGCTCGTCCTGGAACGCTGGTGCCATCTACAGTGACTTATAAAAAGTTCACTTTGAAGTGGTGATAATTGAATGGGTTTAGGTTGTAAGCCCCATTGGTAGCCTTCGATTTTGTGAAAAAAATCAACAGCCTGGATGGTACATTCCCTTGGAAGCAATCATGTATACTGTAGGAAGTCAGCCCCTGGGGAACTATCCATGAACGTATCTGATTCTGTTCATAAGGGTATACAGCGTTGCGTTCTTTCAATTCCATGTTATACGATGTGAGAATACCAGGAGACACAGTTATCATAGGAACAAGGAGAACAAGGAGATGAGCATCAAGCAACTGAACTCTATAGTCTGCATCTGACTCATTCGAAATGAGGTTGAAGGCATCTTCACTAGGTGTTAGTTTCACATTGATCGGTACGCCATTTAAGATATAGCGATTCATTTGGAACAGGTCGTGTAAAATAGGACCTTGCAGCTCTATCTCTCTAGATGCCATCGTGAGTGTGGCTCTCCTCTTTAACCCTGTGTTGTTCCCAGATATGGCATTGCTATCATCTATGAAAGCTGAATTCTGAATAGTTGCTTCGTCCTTGTAGAAAAATTCATTTTGCAATCTTGAGTTATGAGCCGCTGGTGACTGTGTCAGAAGTCTGTTTAGATGAGCCTTATAGGGGTAATAATTGCTGGAGGAGCTAACCACTTGGTGCTGCAGCATGACTTCTACTCGCTGCCATAAGGCGTGCATCCATCCAGTTACTGGAGCTACGTTCGATAGAGAGGGAGTTAAATCCAAATCCGATCCATCACTCTTGGTGATCTTCAATTTTAAAAAGAGCTTGACGTCCTTCAGATTGATGAACTGAGAAGAGTTGTTCGGGATAACAAATTCCACTGGCGTTCCACGTGACAAGGGATTCACAGGGCGAATTTCCACAAAGTTGACTGTTGTCACGCTGCTTTGAGTGCTGGGTGTCTCGAACAAGTTGAGGTTACCATCCAAAATGTCTCCACTAGAGCCATCTATTTTGAATGCCATATTTTATACTCCTCAGTTGTCCTCGCGCGTTTACTCTTGGGTGCTTTGTTAACTACTGGATCACTAGCCTGTCGTTTTCCCTTATAAATCGATCTTTGACGTTCTATTTCCGCCTGTGCTCTTTCCACTACAGCCTCAGTTGGAGATATAACAGTGACTGGTTTCTTAATGATGTCAACAGAAATCCACCTATTTCTATGTTTTCCACGTCCAATTTGAGTGATGATTCCCGCCTCTCTATCAGATTTCAACAGTTGCTGCCACTTGTAGGTGTTATCTATATAAGGTACTAGCTTAGGCATTCTTCTAAATTACTCTTTTTAAGTGTATTGTACAAGTCAGTCTCTGGTTGTTAAATGAGACAGATTGGTTGTCGCTTCCTCTTATATAGAAATGAATTCTATCAAATTGATTGAATTTCACGGAGGTGTAGAGCACTGGATTGAAGTACCGCCAACCCTCTGCTGCCTCTATCCTCCTTAAGATGGACTGTTTACTTCCATTGACCACGCTTTCATCCATCAAATCGCAGAACACATCCAGGTAGGCTACACTTGGTTGGTCTACCAATGCAGGAAGTCCTATTTGCAAGAGTCCTATTTTCCAATATCCTTCTAGGTTTAAATAACTAGGTAATTTCACTGTAAAATGCTCACTGGTGTTAAATGGGAAATATTCTCGGGAATCCCTACTGTCCACGTGTAAATAATGGTCCGTATCCATCCCATGGTTCAATGTAAATGAGTACACTTTGGACGAAGTACCTCGTTTTATGCTACTAAAGTTTCCCCCACTAGTTTTTATGTTCACTATATTACTTAAATCAATGTTACTGTTTTATTCCTAGGAATATTCCCAGATAATTGTTTTGGTTACCTTTTTTTTGACTCACCCTGTATGTCACTAATCCGTTTAAAGATGTTGTGTCACCCTGTTTTTAAGAAACCGTTTTCAGAGAACATTGAAATTAAAGGGGTCTCAAAAACTTTAGACGAGTTGAGACTGTTACTGTTTACTTACTTTGATATATATTATTGCGCAGTCACTCGAGAAATAATCTTTCAATTGGATTGTTTTGTACTTAACGCTTCAAATATCTTTGGCAATTACAATTTAAAGCTAAAGGGAACACCTAACCTGCTTTTGAAACTTTATTACCATTTTAATTATTCATATTCTATAAGCAAGGTGGAAAGTGATCATGGCTATCTGTTATCACTGCGTGAAAGCTACCACACATTCCGAATTCATCCAACATATATGTTTATAAATGGACATTTATGAGTTGACACTGATTCAGTTATAACATAGATGCACATTTAAGTAGTTTGGCGCAGTGACAACTGATATACAGTCGATATATATATATATATATATATATATAGTATATACCTAGCTAGTATACAGTATATGATATCAAAGTCAAAAGCAAACTGTTACTAAAGCGTTTACACTTGAGATGTGACTAAAATAAACCATTTCAAATTATATACCATTACAATGTACAAATGTAATGGCTTTGGATTTTCAAGAAGCGGGGGTCATGGCAGTTGACTATATGGGAACACATTCAAGGAGATGAGAAGTGTTTTGGATTGTGGGAACATACTCTTAAAAATCAGATCAGTACATACTAGCAGGAACACGGAAAACACGAGCTAAATTATGTGTTTCAGAAGTCTCGCTGCCGAATGAAGGGATCTCACAGAGCAGACGAACATGCACTGTCAACTCAACTTAGAATGTTTCTGGATCTAAATACAGGTCTGAAATAGCTTTGAGAATTCTAATTAAAGTATGAAATATTTTTGGTCCTCTAATTTCTGATGATTTCGAGTTTCAGTGGGATTTCCCATGTTAATCAAATACATGGGTTTTAATTTTCAGCCACCTAATTCAGTTTAAAAATATTTTTAGGCTGGTATTTCGTAACTCGATTGCATTCCGGTCTCCTAATTTAGGTCAACAAATATTTTTGGTCCTCTAATTTCTGTTATTTTTGCGTTTCAATGGGATTTCCCATGTGAACAGACGTACGGATTTTAGTTTTATGTCTCCTAATTCGGGTAAAATCTATTTTAATGCTCGTATTTCTAAACGCAATTGCATTTCAGTCTTCTAATTTAGTTTAAAATATTTTGAGGTTGTTATTTCGGGCTAACTTGCATATCGGATTTCTTAAACAAATGTATTTTCAACATACCTGTTTTCTGTTGCAGATGACGCGATTAGGCGAGTCGGACCTGTCTAAAACTCAACCCATTATATAGTATATCGCCTTATCGATAAAATGTTGACAAACCACAGGACTTTGGATCCATTTTACCTCAAAATGTAGGAAAATCTTATCTGTAAATGTTGAAAAATGATATCTTCAAATGGAGGAATACGTTATTTTTAAAAGTGGCTAAATGAAGTGTGTCATTTTGTCTCTCCCCGATCATGCTGCTGCTTACTGGGGAGTATACTCTAGTATACGACTCGGAGTCTGTACGGTACGCGAGTTGTTTAAAGGAGCTCGGCTCCTTTAAACAACTAAGTTCATCGGTATGCCATGTGTCATGCTTTTCGATCTCTAAATGCGGGTCTGGAATAGCTTTCGAGCACCCTAATTCGACTGTAACATATTTTTGGTCTCCTAATTTCTGACGTTTCCCAGCGCCAATGGCTTTTGCCATGTTAAACGGACGTGTCGATTTTAATTTTCGGCCACCTAATTTAGGGTTAAAAACATTTTTGGACTCGTATTTCGAGACTCGATCGCGTTTCGGTCTCCTTAATCAGTGACATATTCTCCAGCCCAAGTAGCTCCTAATCAGTATATAAACGGGTGGTTAACAGTCGTATTCACCAATGGCTCTACATAGCTCAGTAGGGCGGATGTCTTAGCTCAGCTTCCCATCCAATTTTTATATCCCTTAATGCGGGCCTAGAATAGCACGTCCTTAAGTTTTTAATTTTTTTTTCAACATACCTGTTTTTCTGCTGCAGATGACGGGATCAGGCAGACCTGTTTAAAACTCGCCCCGTTATATAGTTTATCGCCTTCTCGATAAAATGTTGAAAAACCACATGACTTTGGATCCATCTTACCTCAAAATGTAGGAAAATCTTTAAATGGTGAAAAAACGACATCTTCAGATGTTGAAATTCCTCATCCACAGGACTTTGGATTCATCCCAAAATGTAGGTCGATTCGACCCTGCCTATTGGCTTCTGATTCCCGTATTGCTACAAATTGTCCCAGATTGCGTCAGATTGTCCCAGAATGTCCCAGATTGCGTCAGATTGTCCTAGAATGTCCCAGATTGCGTCAGATTGTCCTAGAGTGTCCCAGATTGTCCCAGATTGGTAGGCTCCATTGCGACGTATAATACTACTTATACGATACAATGCAAAATAAAAACTACACAATTGCCTGCATTGGGTAAGGCTCTTATGAGGGTTTCCAATTTTGGTAAACATCACGATTTAAAGTCAAGAAAAAATATAACCTTTGGTATTAGTGCTCAATATGCAATATCTCATACTCAGTCAAGTACTTCAATTTAACAATCAATAATTCATGGAGTGCCGGAGAAAGCAAAGTGAAGTACATTATTTAAAACGTTAAATCTGTTGTTTTCAGTTACAAGATATGAACTATACAGTATGCCGAGACTGACGATTTATAAAATAGGTAAGACTATTGCGAAATATAATTACTTGTAGGGTTAGAACAGAATAACATACGGACTATACAAATACCTTTGAAAACTACAACCGATCGAAAAGTATAAATCTTTTTCTCTACTTATTTGATTTAAAATAGATTTGATCTTCATTTACTCCTCTAGTGATTGAAGTTTGTGATCACTTTTTTGTATTTTCATTCATTTTCAGCAATATTATCATATCTCCTGATTGTGTCCTTTTATTCACGAAACAATGATGGAACAGGTAGGGTAAACGCTGAAACGACGATTACCATGGCAACAACTACAGATTACCAAAGCAATACAACGTATACCTTAACAACAGCAAAAAGTTTAAATGACACGATATATGCAACCGAAACAGAAAGTACTACAGAACCCACGACAGAAACAGATGACATTACAACTGAATCAGTCATAACTGAGGCGGAAGAGCCTTCAACCGATGTGGTTGAAACAGATGAACCCACGACAGAAACAGATGTCATTACTACTGAATCAGCCATAATTGAAACACATGAACCTACGACTAATTCAACCAGCTACCCATCAACAAGCACACAGCGACTCACTAGTCCTAATCGTACAACGAAACCTACCCCAACCACCTACCCATCAACAAGCACACAGCGACTCACTAGTCCTAATCGTACAACGACACCTGCCCCAACCATCTTCCCTTCGACAAGCACACAGCGATCCTCCTCAAGCACCGAACGCATTCAACCAGCCAACACAACGACTACAGTGTCAACCACACCTCCACCAAGCATACCTCCCATTATTAGTGAGTTATGGCATTTCATATTTTAATTTAAAATCCTGTACCATGATTAAATTATCCGTAGAGGTGTTGAAATCAACTGATATATTACAAGGGAAAATATATTGTTTCTTATTTTTCGAAAGGCTGGACCGGTGCGTGTCAACGTAAATGTACTGGGCTATATTTCTTAGACTGAATATATTTTTTAGTTGATATAATCGGTGGCTAGGACGGAATGTCTGGGTTGGACTATAAATCCCAATTTATGATCGGTTTATGACTATTCCGGACCATAATTTCTCGTAGGAATGTCCATTTATAATCCTTTCGTATAAAGCTAGGTCAGAATTATAATTCAATGACTTGCCTGAAATGTTGTACACTTCTCTTCTAAAAAAGTGGATACCTTTGAGGAAAGTTTGAACATCCTAGCTTCATTAATAAAGATTTTACAAGTGGGGGCCAATTGACCCCCCACCCCCTTAGGACCTCATCTGACCCTTTTTCCTTAGGGCTTCTAGGGTTAAGACCCTAGGAACCCCATCCCCTTCCCTATCTACTTCAACAACAGGATCTTGTAATCAGTGCCTTGGCACAGATGCTGCTCTCTGAATCACCGGATGTGGAAATAGGTTCTATTGACTTTTTATAATGTGGGGACTATATAAGACATCAACACACCAGACTTGCTTTTTTATATCAGTTTTATTTTGAGTATTATATGTTATAACTTACCACCCTGATAATGATAGAATAAATTATAGATGTTATCCATAGCAAGTTACAAACGTGCCAAGTGCAGATATGAGGAACTATTTTCCTAAATCTTGATTGTGAAGTGGCTATTTAAAACTTTGAAATTTATACTGGAAATTTCACATATATTAATACACTGGCTAGTAACAACAAATGATATGATTTGGCTGTTTTAATGATAGGGATAGCATAAATAATTCATATCAGTATTTGGTATCAACTGCTTGTAACACCCTGTTGTTAAGTTGGAGGGGGTGAGAAAAGACTAAGAATCCAATAGTTAACTCGCTCCATCACCTCTTCCATCAAGTGTACTGCATGTTGTCATGACAGTGGGCCACCTTGACTAAAGACATTTTTTGAACTCCGTTACAGGGACATCGGTCAGCAGTGATGCCCATTTTTACAAGTTGTACTGTATTTTACTTTTACTAGTTTTACTTTCTGTACCTGTTGATAGCAGCACTGTTATATATATCTTTTATTGACTCAATAAACATGTCATTTAAATGACATATCAGTCACTACAGTGTACAAAAAAATACAAACTACAACTACATACTACAAAACTACTTTACATCAGTTTCACATGTCAGGGTATGATATCAGTGTGGTGTATCCATAATACATGTGTTTAAAAAAAAAATGTTTACATAATATTAATCATTTTCCAAATTTTTAAAAGAGTGATATACAAATTTGGCTAAATGTAAGTTAACATGAGAGCTTTTACTAGACATAATAGTTTCAAACAGTTTATCTGGATCTTTGCACTGTTTCAGATCAGATTCTAAAGTTTCAAACAAAAGCTCTCTGTATTTTAAGTTCTTTGTACAGCTTGTGATAAAGTGAAGCTCATCCTCAATTACCCCACATTCACTACACAACCTTTCACTTGTGGGTTTTGGCTTTGGTTTTGAGTACCGCCCAACTTCTATCTGTAATTTATGTTAATTTCCAGCTGGTCTCGAACTTTCTATGGATGGATTGACAATCCAATTGACAGGGTCGGAATTTTATGAAGAACTCAATAATGGATCTTTAGGATTGTTCGATGATTTAGCATATGAGGTTGAGTGGTTCTTACTGCGGTCTGATGTAAGTACAAACTAAATCAATGATATAGTCACGCCCGGATGGAGGGGGGGGGATTAGGCGATTTCTGCAAGAAAACTCAACAAATTTGGAAGAATTATTTTTTCAAGAGAACATTTACAACTGAATTGCCAAATAAATAGGCGCAGTGCATGGCAAAATATGTTAGGTCATCTAGTATTTTTTTGAACTGATACCCTTCAAAGACATGAGATCTATTAAAAAAGGCGCATCATCACAAACGTGCAAAAGTCAATGTTTCTGCAATAAATCGGGCAACAATGGTCTACACGACCTGTAATAAATAGGTACAAGGGACATTATCATCACAATACTAATAATGACATTGCTCGCTTTTTAAAGTTAGTTTCCATGCGTTATACAAAAAATAATCGAAATAAATTAATTTTTGATGGAGGGGGGGGAGTGGATGATTTTGTGATGATGCACCTTTTTTAATAGATCTCATATCTGAGATACTGAGAACTGAGCTTTACATACACAGTCTCTTCTTTCTTTTCCTGAAAAAAATGAACATAATTGAATTAGTATTTTCCAAGATATAGTGATTTTCCATTTGCGCTTTTCATATTTTGCTAGTACAACTGTCTTTTGAGCAAGTGTCCAAGACATCATGTTTTACAACTAATTAACAACATGGGCTATACATACACAGTCTCTTCTTTCTTTTCTGAAAATATGAACATAATTGGATTAGTATTTTCCAAGATATAGCGATTTCTTTGGGTTGCGTTTTTTAACACCCTGTACATCATTCAATATCATACTAGACTGTATTATTTCATGTACATTGGACTGATAGTTGCAATGTTACAGAACTTTAAACAAGGTGCCCCAATTTTCCAATATCGTGCTGTAGGCAAACCTGCACGAATTTTCCAAACCTGTCAATGACATAACTGTATTCCTTAGCAAGTATGGCCTGAACGACACATGTGATCTTTATTTTGAGGTCAAATGTCTTTCTGGTGTTATTACCCTACACTCTATCTTTGGGGCATCCCCAATGGTAAAGATCAAATGGGGCCATATCTAGGCTATGGGGTGCCCATTCATTGTCTGTTGTACTGCTGATAATGTGGATTGAAGTGGTCCCAAAGCCATTATTGTACACCAATGGGTGTATGGGGTATGGTTCTGTCTTGTTGGAACCACTGTTGCTGCAAATCAACCCCCTGGGTTCACCTAAAGTCCCCAAGAACTCCATGGGAATCACAAAATAGAGTTTCATGTTAACAGTTATTGCATATCCGTTGGTATCATCAAAGGATAGGACCCTATCTTCTGAGAACACACTAAACTGTGTATCTGTCTGTGTGAAGGTGCCTCTCCACTACTTCATCAAGTGATTGGTTCCTCAAAAATACATAATTGTTAGAGTTTACCAGTGCATTAAGTTGGAAATGGAGTTCATTTGAATAACATGAATAACAGACCAGCTCAAACAGCCAGAAAGTGGCCATCTGGGGCATGTTGCTTAAAATGCAGTAATATTGTGGCTGTCAGTCCGATGATCGTGAAATATGGTAGGTTGGTAGGAAATTGAATGATGTACAAATTTGTAAAATATCAGGGAGTTATTCCTTAGAATGACAAAGATATTAGGAAAAACTAGGGTTGCCGTTTTTTGACCACCCTGTATTTTTTGGAATCTTGGATAGAAAATATATCAAATGAATTATATCATTGGATAACATTGACATTCTTCTAGGCATATCCGCGAAAACTACACTTATATTTATCTTTGGATACTCTTGAGTCTAAATAGAATAGTTTTTCATTTTTAGTAGATTGCGCTTGACACGTACATTATTTTCCTTTGATTTAGCATAATGGGGGTCTAGATTTGTATGGCGATCTCCTTCATTGTGGTGTTAACAAATTTATGTAAGTACATTGCTAATGTCATGAACTTGTGTCAATACATTCCTTTATTAATTATGAATAATGTTAAAAACTGAAACTTCCTCTGTACCCTTAAAAGTAAATTAATTTTTCATAGGTTTCGTATACGACTGTCAGTCACGTGTTAACTGCTCATGTTTGATTTCCCAAAGAAACAGTTGTATTTAACCTTAAACCTGACCTTGCAATCACGGTTTCAAGGTCAATATATATATTGAAACCAGTACGATTTTTGACCAGGAATGGAAGCATAATAGTTGAATTCGACCTGGTATATGAACTCTATTCCGTCAACGTATCACAAGGAATACAGCCACTCAAAGACCATGTTTCTGAAGTCATACTATCAATGGGAGATAAATCATTCTTCGCGGATAGTATTTGGTCCAATTTAACGGTTAATAGTACGTACAGTCTAGAGGTTACATCTAGACAAATTCAAATGGGTAAGTAAACATACTACCCCCCCCCCCTCCCTAGGAAACGTTATTTAATTTTAGAGAAAATATTGTTTTCGTACCACGACGCATTTGTCCATGATTGGAATTTCAGTTGATTTTAGAGCATGTTGTCTATTTGTGCACGTTGAAACTGCTTTACCAATCGATGATTTATTGTGGATCTTTAAGGATATATTATATTTGAAATTGTAAGGAATACTAGTATATCGGTCGGTCAACTGTCCCTTCCTATAGCTCTGATTCTTTCTTTAACGTTTATAGTCAGCTTGTGCAATAACAAAGGAAACCTTCTCCGATGCGACCATGGACACAGATGTCACGAACACAACGGCGTCCCTGGTTGTTATAGTTTATGTCAACCTACACCTTATGGCACATGGACTCCTGAGAGTTGTAATGAGGGAACTTGTTCTTTGAGTGACGCCACTGACCCCTCTGCAAATGCAACGACTGTTTGTAGGTATGATTGGCGAAAGGATTTTCAGTCTGTTGTTGATAACGAATTCAGGAGTCTTGAATGAGCTTTAAAGAGGATTAAATGATCTAATCGATCAGAAAAAAGTTTAGTAAGATCAACATTTTAACCTGCATAAGCACCTTCTCAGATGATATTTTTGATATAATCATATTTCACTGCTCAACAGCCATCCTGAATTATAATGTTATTGAGGGCAATGAATCCAAAACGAACCATTCACCTGTTGTAAAATATAGAATTACATAATTTATTATAGATAGTGTTCTAATTGGTTGGATAAGGTTTTCACCTCAACAGAATGAAATATTTGCATAACATTTTGCCTATTTTCCCAACTGCTTATTCCATAGGTGCAATGCTGGTTTCTTCCAACTAAGCGGCGAATGCAATTCGTATATTCTGATAGTTGCTATTGTTGCTGGATGTTTAGGTGGAGCTGTGCTATTATTAATAATCATAATCATTGTTTGCGCCATCAAGAAAAGGTCTAAACCTGGAATTGAAAGCATGGAAATGATGCAACACAATCCGGCAAGCGATGGGACACGAAACGACCATGATGACATTGACAGGAGACGACCTCCATTTGACAGAGAAGTGAGTAACATGATGATCCCTCTCAGTTATAAAGTACCAGGATTATAGTCTTAGAAGCTTGCCGATGTTCATCCATCAAAATACAATACGGTAGTTTGGGATACGTTAAAATGACAACAAGATAACAGCAACGCCAAGGCGTAGCAAATCACATGGCTTCCATTTCTGCAAAATCTCTCCATTACTTTTTAGGTATAGAAAAAGTCGTAAAATAACACAGATGAATATGGCCATTACGTTTCAAAATGGCTGCTCACTAGCCAAACGCTCATAAGAAAGTGTAATATGCGTTTAAGTAGGCACATACAAAATTTCAACAAAATCACTTCACAACCCTTTAAGTTATAATAGTAAAACACATTGGGGGAGATATCCAAAGATGACCTATGGTTTTGGCACGTTCCATAACCAATTTTATAAAAAGGACTCATTTGTCATTGAAATGGATCTCTCAGTGTTCGCTGTTGTTTTATGAGCACTGAAGCAAACGCCATTTCCACGATTTCAAATTTTACTTTGTGCATACAGGTGTAAAAGGGTAGGAGGTCCTCTCAAATTATGGTCCTACTCTCCATTGATTTATATGGTGACCTAAATACAACTCTTTCCCTCATTATCTTATACGCAATCAGGACCAGTAAGGGTCGTTAAGAAAGGGGACCATAATCCCTGGGGGGACCATTATTTCTTCCACATCGGCACTGAATTGTTTTAAATACCAATTTTTGTTTAACTTATTTTCAACCGTCACAATTCCTACGTCTATTAGTAAAGCAGGACTCTGCAGCACCGTATATGGAATTATTTTGCCCTACTGTACCAAACCACCATTTTGGAGAGGGACAAAAATCCCAATGCTGCTATTAAATACATCCAGAATATTTGGGTTTCAACCACATAAAAAATCTTAAAACTATCAAATTGCAATCCAATGGGTGGACATAACGTAGGATTCGAGGACCATAGTGCTATTAGTGGATAACCTGTTAGAAGATACTACTAAGCGACGTATATTTTAAAACGATAAAACAAGCTTGGTGGCCCATCTTGTCCAACGGCCCTTCTTATCCGCCATTCCTAACGCTTATATGTTTATGTAATGCTTTTCGTTCAACCTTTTCGTGAAATGTTATGACATTATGTATTCAAAGGAGAAATCTCCAACAAATTATTTACAGAACGGCCACCAAAAGCAGTAATTGCCAATATTATCAAAATAGAATATCATCGACTTTGAGCTCTCAGTCATGAAAACCTTATGTAATTTTTCTTGATTTGGGGCAATATTAACGTTTGTGATAAATTATGGCTTCTGTTGAATGTAATTAAATCAAACTGTCACTGTCATGAAACATTTAAACATTTACAGGTGTCATTGTATTTTGTCAACGATGCGCATTCTGAAGACGAACATAGCAAAGAAGATGAGATGCAACCGAAGTACGACCTGAGTAACAGTCTAAGAATTAGACTCGAGAAAGAACACAGTGGATTCTTCCCACCTCTGCCTATGGACGGCACCGACAAACGGAGCAATACGAATTGAAACATTCCTGTCACCTTTCAAAAAGATGCACGGCCCTCCTGTTTGATCATATGGTATATATTAAAGATTCGAACATGACTGTATTCATGCCTTCTATAAACTGTGAACAAAGTCAATATTTCACCCGGGTTATAATCGAGAACAATACCCCTGGAAATACGAGTTGTGTGTGACGTCATAACGGCGGGCCGTAGTATGACGGGCAATAATGAATATTCGAACATGACTGTATTCACGCCCTCTATACTGTAAATAGTCACCACTTCACCTGGGGTATATTCACGAAGAATACCCCTGGTAATACGTGTAATGTGTGACGTCATAACGGCGGGTCGAAGTAATGGGGGACCATAATGAAATATTCGAAACATTTTCGTGAGTTTTCATATTCGAATCGTAATATAGACCTCAGAGCAGGGGTAATATCGTCGAATATACCCCGCACTCCCTTTGGTCGTTCGGGGTACAGAAAACGTTTGTGCCTAGCTCTGATGGGTGTATTCGACAATATTACTCCTGCTCTGAGGTCTATATTTCTTAATTCGAAAAATGCTGATGACATTTCATGTTAGAATCGTAATATAGACCTATTAGACCTATTATCATGTATTATATCGAGCGATACATACCTTAGGCCTAGGCACAAAAGCTTTCAAACCGTACAGAAAACGTTTGTGCCTGGTCTTGCGGTATTTATTCGTCGATATGATTCCTGCTCCTATATTTCATAATTTGATATCACATCACAATTGTTGAGGACAATGTACAATAACAAAACAATATTTGTTAAGGGACACAGAACTGATTCTACAATCAAAAATTATTGATCCATGAAAACTGTATCGTTTATAGAACTACTTAGTTTCTGTTTCTGATATCAACAAACATACGTGTTCGCCAAATAAAATAAACACGCCTCTACTATTTCCAGTATTGGTACTTAAGAAGGCCTTGTTGCCCCACTCCCAAATAGTTGTTTACAATATATTCACAGTGAATGGCCCGATGACATAGGGCATATTGTTCTTCAAATAGTCACTTGGCAATTCAAACTACAAAACGAAAGTTTACTTATGATCTTAGAGTACATACAGGTAGTACCTCTTAAAAAAAACTTAAAAAATAAATAAGAAAATGTCACATTTTCAAGATATAAAAATGTCATTCCTTCTGTCATGTCGTCTTCATGTATCCGTCCTTCCTATAATGTTTCCAGTTATAGGTATCGGTTTTTATTAATAGTCAGGTTCCAGTTAATATTTTTGCTGGTTGACGGTAGTAGATGATATTAAGTTTAACCGCAAAAGCGTTACGAAGAATACACCTTTTGGAGCTAGACACAAAAGCTTTCGAATCCCTCTATCCCTTTCGTCGTTCGGCGTACAGAAAAATTTGTGCCTACCCCTGCTCTTCCGTCTTTATTACGACACCAACAAGAAAACTCACCAAAATATTGCAAAATCGTCAATTTCCATTTTTCCACTCTTCATTTTCTACTTCCGATTGATGTTTTGGCTGTTCTATTTTGTTAATTTTCCTCCTGACCCCGACTAAAGAGTTTTTATTGTGCAACCTGACACCACTTTGCATTTGTTACAGACTCAGAACGCCGAACACTTACCTCAGAACGCCGAACACTTACCTCCGAACGCCGAACACTTACCTCCGAACGCCGAACAACAACGAACCAACCAACCAACACGATCTACAAATATTTGTAGACCATAACAATATGTCATTACATATTAATTGCGTTTTTAGCTCAATTACGTAACATTTTTTGTAAGCCCATAATGAAAATGTTCAAAAATCCCTAGTACAGACGTTGCTAAAGATAAGGTAAATGTAAATTTAAATCTAGTTTAATACTACTTTTATTTATGAAAGTGAAACTGTTGGTGTTGGTGTGTCGACTTATATGTGACCACGGGGCATTAGCTTCCAAACAACCTCTTTATCATATCATGGCGTCTGTACCTTAACTTTATCAGTAAAATCCCATTCATAATTCACAACAATATAAAAGGAAATACTGTACGCACTCGTCCGGTAAGCGAGGGGTCGTGGGTTCGATCCCCACTAGGCTGGATTGACTTTTTCACATCAGCCCTTAGCTCAGAATTTCATTCTCTGTGTTTTCACAGACCCCAACTATCCAAAATCATAATCCGTCATGAAAAAAGTAATTTTTAATACCCCTGGCCCACTATTCAAGTTTCACAATCACAAACCAGGACAATAACACCAATGAACATTTCATTCATAACAGGATCTTAAGAGGTTCTGGACAAATCATTTGATTCTGGACTTGTCATATATTTTTTTCAACGAAATCACATCTTAGGGTTTAATTTTTATTAGCTATTTAGAGAGTGAGTCCTGCCTAGTATTAATTTCAATAAAAAAAAGTTAAAATAGGACCCTATTTGAGAGTCAATCTAATACTTACATTACATTGATAAATTAAGGCAAATCCTGAAATATTTTTAAAGTGCATTTTTTTCAAAGCTCTTCTGTTCATAAAACAAAACGAAACAAGGCCAAAATGTTAATACATTACTTCTTATCATTACATCTGTCTGATCTAAGCCAGTTAAATATATTATAATATGACAATCAGAAACCTGTATGTAGCATATAGAACTAATATTTTGTTAGTTTAACTACAAAGCTAGTGATAACTACCCTACCGAAATAAGTTTTTCTATATTTACCAAATGATTTAGTTAATGCATTTACTGAAAGCTAATTCGCCATTTACCGAATGCAATAAAGCAATATCCGATAACTTTCGTGGTTGTTCGATATTTTGTCACGTGGCCTCGTGTTTTGCAAAATGGCCGCGCGGCTGTTCTACATCGTTTTCATTCTCTCTCTGATTTCAATGTTTATGGCGAATCCCGACGGCAGTGACGATGAAGATCCATCCAGTAGCATTGGAAGAGACATCGCGCCCGGGGAGGTGTATCCATTCGCAGACTGTCGTGCTGATTGTTTTCAAAAATCGCGGCCTTAAGATCACGTGATTGAAGGTCCCGTAAAACATCGAAAATAATGAATTTTGTCGAATGCAATTTAAAAACCATACAATTGTACGTGCGTTAAGGAAAATAAATTGATTCGCTCCATAGCACAAATACACATATATATATCATATAATGTAAATGCCAACAGAAAGAACAAGTGAAACTATTTAGCGAATACAAATTGTATAGATCATTATATTCGGCGAAATGAATCGCATTCGATAGATTGGGTAAAAGTTTGGTGAATTGTTTGTTGTATTTGGTATTTATGGAATATTAAATGTACCGAATAAAGAAGTAATTTAAACACCATAGCTATGGATTAGGTCACAAAAAGAAGGTGCTAATCCGTAATACAAATGCATTCCTTTATTATTCTAATAATATAACCTGCATGTACAAGTTTTCTCAAGCAATTTGATTGATTCACTAACTGAACTGGAATAGTAGGGGTGGGTCGGGCGGCCTTCGGGTCGGGCGCCGAGGGGAATGACCTCATGGGCCAACCCACAGGCACAAGGTTCTCAGGTTCGGGCTAAACCAGGCCACTTAGTTCCCAAGGAATTTTATTTGTTTCGTTTCCTGTGTGAAGGGTATTTGGTTTTGATCCTAACAACTGTTGATCCTAACATTTGTTTTCTGTCTGTTTAAGGTGGCTTTCACATATGCCGCCGGTGTAAAAGGGTAGGTGCTCCTATCAAATTTTGGTCCTACTCTCTATTGATTTATATGGTGACCTAATTACAATTATTTTCCTTATTATTTATACACAGTCAGGGCCAAGGGACCATAATTTCTTTCACACCGGTACTCGAGCATTTTCAGAAAATGCTCAGATTTTAATTTTCTATAATTTGAGACGGACTGAAGTTTACATTCGGTGTTTCGCAGTGAACTAGTCTACAAATTCATAATCATATAATTGGTATTTGATAGGTAGTGAACATTATTTTCTTTAGTTTATTCACAATTTCCAAGTCAGCCGCCCTAGCCTAGCAATGCATCTGCTTGGGATTGTGTAGTATCCCAAAGTAAAAAAAACAGATCATATTAGGGCCGTTTAATCTTTCTAAAAACTAATTAGACTTGAGACTTAAATCAGATAATGATTTTGCAATAGCACTCTATCAATGTCATATCATATGATATATGATCCTGTTTTGACGATGTGAACCAAACCTAAAATCGTCGGGGCACGGTTTTGTTGATAACCTTTCACCAACTTAGTTGCCATAAATAGACAGTTGAAGGATTTTCTGAGCCTTTTTTGTGTTCAAATATTTATTATCATTGAGGGTACTTGATTTCTGCTAGAAATTCAACAAGATTTATATTTTCGTAAGACTGTTCTCTCCAATTATTTACCTCTAACCACAGGTCGTGTAGACCTTCTTGATTTATAGCAAAAAAATGACTTTTGTACGCTGATAGCGATGCACCTTTAGAATAAAGCTGATACCTTACAAACCTATCAATTCAAAAAATCATAGAGATTTGATCAGATTTCACTATATCATGCGCCTATTCATTAAGCGCTTTAAGTAAACTGTTTCATGAAAAATAAATCTTGCAGATTCGTTGAATTTTGTAGCAGAATTCACATAATCCCCCTCCACTCATTTTATCTGATTTACAGTCGTGTCACCAATGCTTCTCAAGCACCCTTGAGAATAATAAATATTTGAATATAAAAAGAAAATTCTAAAATACATCACAAAATACAAGGGGCTAGACGATGGTGTCATGGAAGACAGAGAAGGCATCGTTTTTCAACGGACAACGTCGGTAACCGAAAGGTTAAAATGTCACTCGTGTGAAAGCACTGTGAAGTTACCAACTTCACTGCCTTGTCTGCATGTGTTTTGCACAAAATGCTTACATTCTCAAATAGAGAAATGCAATCTTAAAGCGGGTGTTTTAAAATGCCCTATATGCGGTGAAGGATGCGAAGTGAAGGAAGACCAATGGCGGCATCTTAAGGTGAGTATAAATGAAGTTTTGTCGTTTTAATGCTTTCACAAATACTCTAAGGGTCAAGATTGCAGTAAAAATCCCATTGACGACCATTATAACGTTTCATTTCATAATATATTCATGGGCACAGATCT